CTATCAATGGGGTCCTTTCTATTCTCCCAACCATTGATTCCGATGCTTCCCTCAAACCATTCTCCGAGTCTGAGTTAATTATTGTGTCAGTAATGTAGCGAAATTGTTGTATTTGGCAATATACTATAAACATAGTACCTCTTCCATTTTGAGGTTGGTGCATCTTCTCGATCTTTCTCGTTCATATTTTCATTTTGTTTTATGTCAGCTTCATTCTCTTCATCGATAGACGATGATGTGTCAGATATGAAGGAACCTTTAATCTATTGACAAGATATGAAAAGGTGAGAAGATATTTCATGGTTAAATGGCATTTGCGATTTTCATACCGACTTTTTTGATGCCTTCGGGGACAGTGACGTTATTTACACGTTTTCTTGGGTTCGTCTATAAAATAATATATAAGGGTAAACAATTGCCATTTTGCTTCTACTAATTTCATGATTGCAACTATTCATACCAGTCTAGTATTGACGTTCTCAATGGTAGAACAAGCATTTTCGATGGCAGTATCGACAACTTTTTTGGTGCCATACATTATTGATTTAGAAGCTTCTTCCTGTCATCATGAAAAAAAATACAGTCAATACAGGCATAAGTTTGATTAGATAATTCAGAAAAATTAGTTAATAAAAACCTCAATTTCATACAATTCCTCGTGTAATTCAATTTCCTTCCAAAACGCGTCAACGTCTCTAAAATATTCCCTATGCCCCTATGCCCCTATAACTCACATAAAATTAGTATAGTATAAATAAGAATGACTAGAGGCATGGCTAGAGACAAGCACAACGGGCAAGCAGACCATAAGGTAGACAGCAAGCAGGTGTCCACCGTAGTTGTGAGGGTTTTCCTTTTTCTACAGCGGGCAATCAGACCGTAAGGTGGACAGCAAGCAGGTGCCCACCATAGCTGTAGAAGCCTCCCTCTGCCATAAAGCCATGCAAAAAACGATAGAAAAAACTTCACCTTAAATCTTCCGTTAAGTAGACTAGCACCCTCCTTCATTTTGTCTGGACCATTTGTTATCAAAATACTGAGATCCTTTTTCAGCTTGTCAGATTCTTTACGAAAAGAAAAGGTGAAGTCGGATTGTTGTAATCGATACTCATAAAAGTCCAGAAAACGATAATCTTCGGGACGTGTTTCTTCGAAATAGGCACTCCAAGTACTAGACATGATTTATAAAAAGTGTGTGACGGAATAGATTACTTTTATCTAAAATGGTTACACACATCATACAAAAATGACACGCGTGTCCGTTCGGCGCAGTAATATGACGCAGTAGACGATAACTGATACTACACAAAATCGGACGCAGTAAACAATTAAATTCCACACTATCAGATAAATCTAAAACAGACCTTGCAGGAAAAAGCTTATAGATCTTTTTGGCCCTTTCCCTCCTCTTTTACAAAGCATCAGAAAATTTGTTTTGGGAATTTCCCTTATAACTTCAAACAATCTTGCAAAAAGTTGTAACATTATAACAAGAGCACAAGCCCTTGCAAATAGTCCAAAACCATATCATGAAGATATCACATTTCGGGCTATGAAGTCTGATAAAATTCCAAAGCTGGATTCATT